AGAAGAAGAAGAAGAAGAAGAAGAAGAAGAAGAAGAAGAAGAAGAAGAAGAAGAAGAAGAAGAAGAAGAAGAAGAAGAAGAAGAAGAAGAAGAAGAAGATCATAGTGCAACAGGCTTCCTCGGGCGGTAGTGGTCGCTCCTTCTTGGGAGGTTTTCAGACAGAGGCTAGATGGCCATCGGACAGCAATGCTGATTCTGTGAACTTAGGAAGATCATGAGAGGGAGGGCAGGAAGGGTTGCATCAGTGCTTAGTTCTCGTGACCCTTTCTTACACCCCCAGGGAAATGCCGATTGCGACTTTGGGGTCAGGAAGCAATTTTTCTCAAGGCCAGTTTGGCTGGAGATCCTGGAGGGTTTTCTTTTTTTGGTCATCTTCTGGGCATGGAGCAGTGGGGGGGGGGACGCAATGCTCCCTCTAAGCCATGGAGTCTTGTGAGCAAAAATTCTACTTTGTGAGCTACTGGCATTAAAGTTGTGAGCGAGCCATTTGGCTACTGCACAAATCAGTTTGCTCTGGAGCCCTCCTTCCTGAGCTGAGACAAAAATGTGTGAGTCGGAGGCTACAAAACTATGAGCTAGCTCACACTAACTCAGCTTAGAGGGAACACTGGGGGGTTGGACTAGATGAGAATTTCCTGCATTGTGCAGGGGGTTGGACTAGATGACCCTGGAGTTCCCTTCCAACTCTATGATTCTATTCATCATCATCATCGTCGTCATCATCTGTCTTTGCTTGCAGGGAGACTCCGGTGGACCGCTGGTGTGCAACGGGAAACTGTCAGGTGTAGTATCTTGGGGACAGGGTTGTGCCCAGAAAAACTATCCTGGCGTTTATGCGCCCGTGTGTAACTACAGAGCCTGGATCGAAGAGGTGATTGCAAACAACTAAGAGACCCTCAGCATCCACACCACCGAAAACGGACGACATTCCTTGGAGCGCTTTAACCTTCTGCTTAAGAGAAGGGAGGGAGCAGCGAGCACCAAAATGCGTGGCCATGTCTGCAGCAAAAACTGTTTCAATGTCCTTCCCTCTCTTCATGGGAACCTGAGAGCTATAGTTCTGGGAGGGAGGGTACGGATTTCCACACCCCTCCCAAAACTACAGTCCCAGGATTCTTTGGGGGGCGTGATGGATTACACCGGTGTAATATTGAAATGGGTAGGTATTCCCCAAGGAACTCGACGAAAAGGGGGAACTGATGCTGCATCCTTGTGTTTAGAAATTAAACAGAACACCGTCCTACCTTGTTGTTTGTGTATTATTGGGGTGGTTGTTGTTGTTGTTTTTACAGTGATGTGTGTTTGTCTGATGGCACTGTAGTTTCAGGGGCAGCCAGTGATGGAGGAGGTCACCATTTTAATTCTCTACAACTCTCTGGCTGATGTCGCACTAGAGCTGCCTCGATGTTGCGCCGCCGTTTGCCCCGATACTATTGGTCAATTTCACACCCGAAGCCGCGGGGCTGCATTTGACCCGCGGCTTCGCCCGATTTCCCCCGCAGTTTCGTGATCCTGTTTTTTGAGGGTCACAAAACTCCGGAGGAAATCGGGCGAAGCCGCGGGTCAAATGCAGCCCCGCGGCTTCGGGTGTGAAATTGACCAATAGTATCGG